ATATATATATATATATATATATATATATATATATATATATATATATTACTAACAGTACTACAGTACTACGGCTGGTGTTTAAGTAAATTTGATCATTTTTCACTCCTACTAAAATTTTGATTAATTAACGATTAGGATTCGAATATTACCATAAAAAAATAATTATATATTATATAATTACATGTTATTATATATAATCATAACCTTGTAATTAAATAAAAATATTTTGAAAAAATTTCTAATGTGACAAACAGTGGTCCATGGTAAACATTTACTTAAGAATAAATTAAGTATAGCTTTTTTTTTATTACATAGGTGACATTACTTAAGTTTAAACCAACTATCCATATCTTTAGAATGTTTATATGTACTAAATCTTAAAAAAAAAGAATATCTAATGGGGAAAATTAAACATGTAGATATAAACTGAAATGCTGTAGTACTACTAATTCTATTGCTACTATAAATAAAAATATAATGAATTCCTCTCAATGATCAACTCTATTTTCTGGAGGGGGGTTCAGTTGTTTCGACTTTAGATGCATGGCTTAGTTTGTCCGCGCTGAGCTTCCGTACTGCGGCTTCCCCAGCGCTAGTAGCCGCTGACTAACCTCAGCGCTGAATTCATTCCGTAGGCTTTATGTAGAGACGTAAACATGTCTGCAATGGGAGGCAGTACGAGAGGGTTTTATTTCAATACAGTGCTGTCTCTGGCCCGCTCCTTAGCCGCCCACAGACCCGCCCCGGCTGAAAAGGTGAGAAAAGAGAAGAACGAGGGATTTCACTTTGATAAACATGAACGCTAATTAGCCTAGTTGAATGATTGCTGCTGGTGTTCTGGGTTTCACTCCGCTTCCGCACAGGCGGTGTCTTTTTTATTTGGACCACATACCTGTCAGCTGTGCCTAGTTTAACGATTCTCTGTGTGTGTCAGCGATTAGCAGTGACTAATGTGGGATCCTCTGTTTATGTAATGGGTGGAAAAGTGGGATGTAGATGAAAATGTAACCATTGGTGGTTGCTGTCTGTTATCATTATTGCTGCATCACAAAGGGCAGAGAGCAGTCCGACTGGATGAACGCAGCAGTCAAACAGGTTTATGCCATTAAGGAGAGCTCACTGACCTGTTAGAACAGGAGAGCAAATACGTATGTCTAATTTTCATATAGCGATATAAACATTTGGATGAGTCATGCATATGGAGCCAAGTATTCACACACAATAAATTAATTTATCTGAGTTCATCAGTGTCTTAATTATTATGGTCTGTTATTTGCTTCAAGTTATTTGTTTTGTAAAGTTTGAATAAAGCAAGTGACCAAAAGGAAATTTAAAAACAAGCTTAAGATACATATTTTTTTTAAACCATTTTTAGCAGTTGTTTCCAACTGATACTTACAAACTGGGATACATACACCTGTTGTCAGTGGCGGTTCTAGACCAAATGTACCAGGGGGCCAGGAGGGAGGCAGCGTTGTGTTCATGGGAGCACAGAAAAGCATGAAATAAAAAAAGGGCAAGGGATAAAAAAAAAAATAAGAAAGCTGCATCAAGTAAAATTTCCATTCAAGTAGGTTTAATTAAAATTCTGTTTCTTATTAGGTCAATATACATTCAGGATTTAGGGATTTTACACATTTTTTTTCACTTGATTTAAGTTAAAATTTTTTATTTTATTTTATTTTATTTTTTATAAAATCTAAATTAGAACTCAAGAAAAGCTTGAGCTTTTGAAAGAGCTTTTGAAAAAAAAAAACATTTAGTAGATAAAAACTGGGATCTCAATACCACTGAATCCTTATTATCACCTTTTTGTTTTTGAATTATTAGTAAAACAGAATTTGTAAAGGGAAAAAAAAGTAATAGACATGATCTACAGGGGCACTGGCCCCCTTTTATTAATGCTATAATCTTACATCGAGGGTGATTTCTGAATGGATATTTGAATTTATTTAAACATTTTGATTTCCTGGATAATCTATGATGTTATAAACGTATGCCTGCAAATCAATAAAATCAGGTCTATTCTAGAAAGATATTGTGATCTGCTTTTATCCATTCTAATACGTGTTTACATCAAGAGAGTAGGGAGAAAAACTAGGTCAATCTGTCATCATTTATCAAAATATTCTTCTTTTATATTGAAATATTCTGTTTGAATCTGACGAAGACCTAATTCAGTCCAAAAAGAACTTTTTTAAAAGTGTTTTTGCGACAAAAGATATGTATATTTACTTATGGCTTAACATTCGTTTCCAATCTTTCTATTTCTTGGTTTAAAAAGAATTAAACACAGTTGTTGTAAAATGGAAAGAAGTTGCCATATCAAATCTAATTTTGGTTTGATATGGCAACTTCAGAGGGAAATAATATGGCCAGCTAACGTTATACTCTGTAGAAGGCTATCATTTTATCAGTTTTTATCACTCTACCCAGAAACAACAACTCATATGTTTTGTTTTGATTATCAAATACATCAGTACATCATTCTTTAAATAAGCTAATTTAATCATAACATGCATTTCTATCCATGGGTGCATTAATCTTACCAAAATCTTGTGTCAATAAAGGGTTAAATCTCAGTTTAAAATCCTCCTCTGGATATTAAAATATTCTCAGTGCTCAAAACTGTCTAAAATGTCTTATTCCAACTTGTGTCTTTTTTTTTAAGCTTAACAAATATTTAGTCCTAATATCTTGACTTAGTTGTTTGTTTAAATATAACCACAATAACAGTCATGCATGTGTTTATATCCCTACCCAACTTCACACAGAAGACATCACATTTTAATTCACATTATTCTGTTTATTTCAATATAATAGTGCTCTAGTGTAACTGTTTGCACCAGCAGGTATATGTTTTTATCTTAAAGTAATCTGTTTGTGCTCGTTCAGGTCCAGAAGCTGCAATGCATGTGTCCAGTGGATGTCCGTGGTGTGTTCACTTTAGATGTGCGACGCAGAGATGCGGTTATTGCGCTTGCTGTGTTTTTGGTGGAGTCGGGCCTGCAGGTAGGTGTTTACTGGTGTTTCTAAGGAGTTAGCAGCTTTATTGGCCTTAAGAGAAGTTTTATACCTTCCATGCATAATTTATAGCAAAAAAGTGCTAGATGCTGCATACTTTTACTTTTAAAGTGTAGATAGAAATGTTTAACATCATAAATAGATATTTTCAATCTACACTTTTTAGACTTTTATTAAAACGTAAAACTCAAAATACTCAAAACCAATTTTCAATACTGTAGGGGAATAAATAAATTTAAATGTTCATGGCATAGTAATATGTTATTGACATGAAAAACTCACCTGTAATCTCAAAATGGGACATGCTTACTCAACAGAAGTACAGATCCAATTTCTTGAATAATATGTATGTATGTGTGTATATATATATTAGGGCTGCACGTTGATTAATCTGTTGATTATTTTTCCATTAATCAGTTAAATTATCGGATAGCCAAAGGTTAATTAAAAAAGACTTTTTACGAAACTAAACCAGGTGAAACTCCAACTTTTCCACATGAGGAGTTCTGGATAGAGCATATCGAGAGACGATTTTTATCTTGAATGCAAAATGTTTATATATTTTTCACAATCTTGGTATAATTACTGCTCTAAGTGGGTTGCTCTGTCAGCTAAAGGCATGTTTTAGAGTCTCTATACTGCAGTTAACAATTAATCTATTACTAATAGTTGATCGATCGATCAATCAATAATCGAATAACCACGATTAATCTGATTAATTGTTTCAGCCCTAAAATTTATATATATATATATATATATATATATGGTAAATAAAAAAATGGCATGTACTTATATAGTGCCTTTATTCAAGTTGGGAGACTTGACCAAAGCGCTTTACTTTACATTCATTCACCCATTCACGCACACACTCACACACTGATGGTGGCAAGCTACATTGTAGCCACAGCTGCCCTGGGGCTCACTGACAGTATATATATATATATATATATATATATAAACATTCTTATTTTATCATATGATATACATATTTTATGATCCAGGTACTAATTAAAACTGAGCTATAATGTTTTCAATTTCTTTGTTTTATCAGATAACCAGTATTAGTTAAGTTTTTGCTTCAACACTCTCACAAGGCTCCACTCTATGTGTATCACTGTACTTAGCTTATTTCCGTAATCTCATTAAGAAGGTGATTAGACATTAAGTTGACCCTGTAATCCTCTAAACCAATCAGGTTAAGACATTCTTCGTTACCGTCTGATTTTATAGAGACTGTTTCTCAACTCTTAACATGAATGTTTTTTTAATATTGTCAATGATTCCAGATAGGCTGACAGATTTTTTTAGCCTGCCTCATAATTGTGAGCTTTCAGAACTTTGTAGGTAAACTAAGATAATCCCAAGTGCATTTGTTTCTGGAATGCAATGATTTGCTTTTCCTCCTGCAGCACAAAGACACACTTGTTCCCTACTTGCTGAGTCTATTGAAAGGCCTGCCACGAGTCCAGTGGATCGAAGAAGGGTTGGGAAAGAAAGAGAAGGGTATGTGAAATCCTCTTACCTTTGATTTACAGCAGCCTTTATGTAGATGCGACAGCAGTAGGCTAGAGGACCATTTTTCTAAGTCTTTACAGCACAGTTGTAACATCAATTAATCATT